TGGGCTGATTTAGCACGCTCAGTGGGGGGGGGGGGGGGGGGCTCTGAAAATTGCAAGCGGTGGAGAGGGGGATGGGGATCTCGCCCCTTTCCCTGTCATTTCGACAATCGTAGGATGTAGAGTACCACAACTTGCGGGTTAGGTGGGTGTTATGTGAAGCTATGTGCTTGTCACATCACTAACTTCCAGCGGAAGGCTAGCGACTCTAGGGGCAATATGTCTAACATCAAATGAGGTCACTTCATTTGACGTGACTTAGTTTATCATCATTGTTATCCGCATTGATGGTGCTTGAATGTGTGGAAAAAAGACCAGGCTTTATTGTTGACTTCACATGCGACACAGTCAAATTGTTCCATGTACCGCATAACCTCAGGGCGCTTGTAAGTCAACACGCTATGATGCGTACAATGAAATGTGCATCCTGAAGGGAAAACCGCAAGTTTCACGAATTTTGCAAATAGGCGCTAATTGTTGACAACTTACCATTGAAGTTGCTGGAATCCACCCGAATTGACTTCGGTGACCCAGCATGAGCTTAGCATGGCATCTTATAGAAAACAATTTAAAGGTCACCTGTATTGCCAGGAGCATTCCCTTACTGATTTGCCCCCCCCCCCCCCCACGGTCCTCTACTACACGCGTTAAGCAGTACATGCATCGAAGCTAACAACCACAACAATGCCAGCGGTGACCGCTGAAGCAGCCGGTCGAGACTGAGTAGGGAGCTCGACTAGGTGGGCTTTCCGTGTCGGACACACCGTCCTCCACCACGGCGGGCTGCCCTCTGCAAAGCAGTGGGCCACTTGGCAACGGGCCAAGGCGGATCTGACCTGACACGGCACGGTCATGATGCAGCACGTCTGTGTTTCCGTGCTGATGGCATGATGATGGTGAATTTGCGGCCCACTTTCACCGGTAGCCCGCCGTTAACTTGAAACCTCACTTATTCAGGCCTTGCATACGTGACATGACCGGAAATATTATTTACCTGCGTCATAGTAGATGTTAATCACACCGTGTCTAAGCAACCTTCTTTAATCGAACGAAAGGTTATGGGTTAACACGCGCCTGAGTGACCGGTTGGATACCCTTCGCTCGGGTGGGGTCAATATGATCCCCCTGAGATCTCAGGAACAAAGGGAGCCAGAGACACCAAATGCACAGGGTGTCTTGACCTGCACCTTAACTCACTTAGGTCAAAGTTTAAGGTTCCCAGGTCCTGACCTTCTGGTCAAACAAGGTCAAACAACACCAAATTTCAGGTTGGTCTATAAAGTGTCCTTAGAACCTAGATAACTGTTCTAAGCAAAAGGCCACATGCTCATCTAAGCTCGGTGACATTGTTTGACCTTTTGAAAGCCATAATGACCAAAATCATGCAAGACCGCTTTGAGTTTCGCTTTTGAATAAGCAACAAATACTACTCTAGGCAGTATATTCCTGAAAAATGCTGACCTGGGTCATTCCAGGTCAGTGATCTATTTTTACCTTTAAGAAATCTATGGAGGACGTATAATGCGGTTCCTGTCATCGATAAATTCAAAATAAGCACCAGGAACTATTTCCCTTCAGCAAGCGCTAGAATAACAAAACAGGCTGGTTTTGACCCTGGTCTGACATTCATACCTGACCTTAGGTCGATGCAAGTCGCTCATTCAATTTTTCTGTTGCCTGAGAAAGTATCTCAGAGATGTATGGCTTCGTCTAATACTCTGTTGTTGGATCAGATTGAACGATTTGCTAGAAATTGCCTTTGCTGAAGCCATGGCCTGATTTTGATCTGCTTTGGGTTGGCGACCTTATAAGGTACATCTACATATCTTATGACAGACGATCCGCTACTCAATTGTCACAGCTATGCAAAATTTGGCGCGGCCACGCTACGCCGTTCGGAAACCATTTTGGAAAAACTTTCGAGGGGGGAGTTAATTTGACCCCCCGCCTGACCGCGTCTTAATTGCTATCCTTTCTTTAGCTTTGACCAGACAATGATATACACGACAGATCCAGGCAAATTTTAAAAATGTAAACAACAGCTCAAGAAAAAAGCCGCATGCCATGTAACATGTCCATTCCTCTGATGCAACGAAAGTGAAATAGATGACCGGTTTTACACTTCAGCCATGGACAAATAATGCAAAACTTTGATGTACATGTGCTTTTGTCAAGAGCTTGTGTCATTGGTTTGCGGCTGAAACATAAAACCAGTAATGTATTTTACGTTTGTTGCCTCAGAGGGACTGTATATTACATTGGATGAGACTTTTTAGGTTTTTTTTTAATGCATGCCTGCACCTGTTCTTCGCATCATTGTCTGACCAAGGCTGTATGGAGATACCAATGATCCTGAAAGCTCCCGTTCAATACAAACAAGGCGATTGAAATTCACTTGGAATTGACTTCTGCTATTGTTTTGATAAAGGCATGTTGCCGAAATACCAACCCATCGATATCTCCATTCTCCTGATTTTTCTCTGAGGAATAAGGCTATTACTACTGTCTTATCCTTGGGAAAAATGTTCCTCGCAAATGCACTAAACAATTTACGTAGTTGAAATGTTATCTTATTGTACTTAACTACAAGACTGTAGCTGGAATGCAAAGCCACCACACAACAACCTATTACATAAAAGGTATAACGTGACACTCTATACAGCGTGTCATCGGAGCCTTAATCCGTCCACTTGCAGTCCCTCGGGAGAACACTCAAGACCGCAGGCATGCCGACACTATCTGCCGACACTTTCCGACACGGACACGCCGATACTATCTGCCGACACTATCCGACATGGACCTGCCGACATTACTTACCGACACTACCCGACAGAGACCTGCAGACACTATATGCCGACACCATTGAACACGGACCCGCCGCCACTACCTACCGACACTATCCGACACAGACCTGCCGACACTATCCGCCGACACTATCTGACACGGACCTGACGACGCTTTCTGCCGACACTATCTGACACAGACCTGGCGACTTTTTCTGCCGACACTATCTGCCGACACCATTCGACCTGCCGACACCATCGCGTGCTTGCTGAGCCGGGCCGCATCCTGTTGGCGGCGCCCTCCTCTTGTGCTCGCGAACCCCCAGCAACGCAGGATCGCCAGTCCCGGCCGGGGCACGCTCGATCGATAGCCCGCGGGGTCGGGCAGCGCCGACGCCGCCTCGCGTCGCCCGAGTCAACAACATCGAGCAGGACGCCGTCCAGTGGGGCCGCCCGCCCGGCGCCTGGACGACACTGCGTCGTGTAATTTTGTCGGGTGTCTGAAGGAGGTGCGATTGACGAATGGGTCTGGTTGTGATGCACTGTGTTGGTGCATCTTCACAGGACGGCTCCCGCGTCTTTTGTCTCAGCGTTTTGATCTGTCATTGCCCGCTGATTGCAATTGCATCAGCGGGTTGTTGTAATCAATCAATGCAGTTGCAATCAGTGATTGTGTGGATTGCAATAAGTGAAATTGGAGATACGTGTGGAGGCACGGGTGACAAATGATTGGCCCTAGCCGTGTTTTGGAGATGTTCCCCTTGTTTGCTCCGTTTATTTCAAACCAAAAAAAATAATGTTCCAAAAAGTAAGGCCAGATCAAAGCTGCCGGTTTTAGGGGCCACTCCCCACCTCTGCTGCCCGGTATGGTAAACTTAGATCGCTCCACGTGTCCCGCTGGATGGTTTTGTCACTATCTGACGCCGCGTGCCGACAACCAGGGTCACGTTACCCATTGACCCACTACATATCTACCTGAGTTTGACCCACTACATATCTACTTGAGTTTGACCCACTACATATCTACCTGAGTTTGCTACCTATGACGTCACAAGTCCCCGCGTCACACACGATCGACTACGCTACAACCAGCAGGCACTGCTGTGACCCACTGACCCGTGACGTTACAGGTTGCAACTTGTGGACGGCGTTCGGCATTGGGGAATGCGCGCCAGGTGTCGATGCTAGATGGCTCTGGCATCGTCTGACGCCGCGTGCCCGTTGACAGGTGTCGGACTGCGTCACGACCAATCAGCGCTCGTACCTGGAGCGCGCCTCGGCCGTCGTGTTTCACCCGATGGAGTTTAGCGACCTCGACCTGCCCTCCTGGCGCCATCCGGACCAGCTCTGGGTGTTCTTCATGCTGGAGAGCCCGCCGCATACGACCGCCAAGTTCACGGAGGCCACGCGGCACCTGTTCAACCTCACTGTGACCTACAGGTGCGGGCGACGCAGTCATTAGCCGTTTGATTCCGCAGATGTGCGTGGAGGGGGGGGGGGGGTTGTCATCGTGGGCATGAGTGTGTTTTAACCTTTTTTTCGTCGAGGAGGGTGGTTTGCTGACGTTCTTCGGAAGGTACGAGAATGAAAACGTTCACCAAAAAACCAAGAACTGCGATGTCGAGCGTTGGTTTTATTGCAAAATTTGTAGAATGTATGTTTCTCCGATATAAACCTGGTAACAATTTTGGATCAATTTTCCTCGCAGGTGCCAGGCGCAATGACATTGCCACTGCTAAAATAAGTAAAGCATTTTTATTTCCCAGAACCTGAGTTTTTATCCAACAGCATAGCTTTTTAAAAGTGATGTGGGTCTTTTGTAAAATACAAAAATGACCTTAAACCATCCCGCCCCTATTCTTCCTTAAAGGCTCAAACGTTTGACTGGTCATTTCCCACGTAGATACTCCGTTTCGGCCACCTAATGGCCTAAAATTTACTGGCGTTGGTTCATGAACGAAATACTTCTTCGAAGAAGAAAAGTTCTGAACATAAGCTGACATGAAAAAGGATTTATGGAATCGACGAGTGCCCACGTTTCAGAAAAGGTGCCCATGTGCGTGTTACTGAGAGGCACGGGAGCTGGAGAACAGGGATGGGGGATTGCAAAATTGCTATCGACCCCACCGCTCGGGAAGACTTCTATGGCTTCTAGCTGTACCTTCCGACCGTTCCGCGGTACAGAGAAGATTGAACCCCGCGATGTGAAGGTTAGACGTGTTGTGAAGTACACAACACGTCTACAACACGCACGTGTCGTACACAACACATTCGGTATTGTAGGTTTTGATAGTAGACACATCTCTACGGTTTTGAAAGGTACGCTTTGCTGCACAATCGTCATGATCTTCCACGTGTGCTTCAGGTCCCGTCTGGATTTAAGTAAATATTTGCATGGTGTTGCAAGGCTCAGTATTAAAAGGCTTCCGTCACTACATTTATTTATCGCCAATTGCCACATGCCGTATTTGCAGGCTGAACACTAATATGGCTACTCTCCTGTGCTAGCTCACGCGACTTTTGTGTTGGCGCGTGATATCCCCGGCGAGCTGCTCTGTCTGGGTCAAGATATGTTCGGGAGGGATCAGGCAGTACTTTTTCAAAAAGTCGCTCATTTCCACGTGACGCCGAAGACGCAATGCTAGCTCAGTCAAAATTTGGGGACCTTATCTCCGGTGGGGTTATCTCATTTGGGGTTATCTCCTTAATTTGGGGTTATCTCCTTCCTCTCCTGTGGTGAAACCGTCGCCTTCCGGTACCAGTGCTGGTGATGGTGGAAGTAATCGCACCACGCTATGGCACCACACGTTTCACCATCCTGAAGACTGGACCCTGAAAGCCCAGGGGACCATCGTCTAATCCGCATTGGCCCCGCCCAACCTAACGGCGAAGGTCGTATCGCTCCGGCGCGCGCCCGTATCCGGCGCGGATGAAGATGCGATGCATCCACATCCTCGCCGGATGTGGATGCATCGCCTCCGCATCCGCATCCGGTGCGGATGCGACGCATCCGCATCGCATCCGATGCGGCAGCAGCTGACGCGTCGCCCCACAGGCGGGACTCGGACATACGCCAGCCGTACTTCGTGGTGGAGCGACTGCCGGAGAGCGAGCGGCGGCCGGCCCAGGTCGCCACCGGCCGGCCCACGCCGCCCTGGGCCGCGCTCGCGCGGAGGAAGGGCCGCCTGCCGTGGGTGGTCTCCCACTGCAGGACGCCCGGCAAGCGCGAGGAGTTTGTCGAGGTTGGTGCGTCCGAAATTGTGAGGCGCTGGCAAAGTGCTGTGGATGTGACGTGCTTCAGTGCGTTTTTATTTTGTTTGGGCGTTTTCACTCTATGCGCAAGATCATCATGCTCGAACGTTTAAAGGAATGAATCTTAGCTCAACTCGGTCAAAATCAAGAGCGCAAGCTGTCCCAGTCTTCCTCCTTGCTATTGTCGCGCTGGTTACCGTGACGCGTTTGCAGTATGCTCCAAGTTTACAGAGCAGGTTTTCGGAAACCTCACAATTCCGCTCGACACCGGACGAACATGGCCGTCGGCACTCGTCCAGCGTTCAGCATGAAAACCGATGTTGCGAGACCTGGACGGTATACAGGCAACGTTCTGCGTTGTAACGTTGTGACGCTCGCTGTGCGTCCAACGTTGTAATGCTCCAGCGACTGCGGGCTCCGGGTGTCTCCACTCCCTCGACTGTCTGTCGCCGCCCACACCCTGCCGCCTCCCTCGCGACTAATGATCCCCCCCTTCCGCGCTCAGGAGCTGCGCAGCTACATCGCGGTGGACGTGTTCGGGCGCTGTGGCCCGCTGAAGTGTTCCCCGCCTGGCGGACTCTTCACCCTGCCCGATCCGCGCACTTGCTACCGCCACCTGGCCGAAAACTACCACTTCTACCTCTCGCTCGAGAACTCGCGCTGCCGCGACTACATCACCGAGAAGTTCTTCCTGGCGCTCAACAGCAGCCTCGTGCCGGTCGTGTACGGCGCGCGGCGCGAAGACTACGCCGCCGTCGCACCGCCGCACTCGTTCATCCACGTGGACGACTTCGAGAGCGCGCGAGAGCTGGCCAGCTACCTGCGCTACTTGACGGCGCACCCGGCGGCGCTGGACGCGTACACGGCCTGGCGCGGAGAGTACCGTGTGCGGGGAGCGGTCCACGACAGCTGGTGCAAACTCTGTGAGCGGCTGCACGACGCCAGCGCGCCGCGCAGCACCCACCCCGACATCAACGCGTGGTGGAATGGCCCGGACACCTGCTGGTAACCTGCGGGTGTCCCGGCCGCCTGCTGCTGCCTGCCTCGGCGGGCATGTGTTTGGCACCGGCACCCCATGGGAATCAGAAACCAGTCCGGACATGTGCTAGCACTGACGTCTGCTGGCCGCCTCGTGGCAGTGTGGATGTATACCGGCGATGCTTAATGTCGCGCTTGATGTGAGCGTGCCTCGCGCAGCACGTGGACATGGAGCGCGCCTGTCTCTGACGTTAATCCGGACGTGAGCGCGAGAACTCCTGACGTCAGGGATCGCGCGGGCTGGGAGTTCTTCAGCGGGTCGGCTCAACTCCTCTGAGTTGCGCAGCTGACCGGGTGAACCCCATCCTCACCGTCGAGCTTCGTGACTGAGGTGAACCATGAGCTTAGCCCCACCGTCAAGCTACGCGACTGGAGTGAGCCCCGAACTTTGCTCCGCCACGGGCTCCGTGACTGAAGTGAACCCCGAACTTTGCTCCGCCATCAGGCTCCGTGACTGAAGTGAACCCCGAACTTTGCTCCGCCATCAGGCTCCGTGACTGGAGTGAACCCCGAACTTTGCTCCGCCATCAGGCTCCGTGACTGGAGCCCAAAAGCGCAGAGAACGAGGCGAGCCTCCAGGGCATTTGGAACTTCCACATGGCGTCACAGTGGCTGAGAAGGCGCCGGAGAGGAGGCCAAGTCACGTAGTCCGGACGGTGGGCGTTGGGCGTGTTGACAGGTAGTCTCCGTCGTGGCTAATAACTGCAAAGCGTTCATGGCCGCATGTAACGAGATTGTTTTATGCCTTGTGCAGGGCCTCTGCTGGTTGTGAGCTGTTGCCTTTTCAGATCGCTGTAGGTAGCAAACAGGTGTGCTACGGTGTTCTAGACGGTGGTACGACATTCAGGACGCCCGGAAGTCCTTTGACACCGCGCTGCATGCGGCAGAATAGCGTAGATGTGACCTCACGAACACGAGACGTGTCTAGTACATTCCATTTCTTACGACTGAGTTCCGGTAATCTTACCGGTGGTATGAGATTCTTTCATTAGGTGGTTTCTTACGCAAATTGATTTTCGTGCATATTTCCGTATTATGATATGTAACGCACCCGAACTTTTAAAGGATGTCACGATAGAGGCATTTCACAGCCATTTTTTTCTGGATTTCCGCAACCTGTGGAACCTATTCAGCATTCTGGCTTGTCAACACCCCCGGCTCTCCGGACAATCTCCCGCCTGACAACGGCTCTTAGGATAATCCCCCTCTTGACTCCAGCTGTCCAGCTTTCCGGAAAATCGAAAACCTGACACCAGCTTTCCGGGCAATCTACCGTCTGACACCAGCTCTCCGGATAATCTCCTGTCTGACATCAGCTGTCTCCGATGTTCACCTCCTAGTCACCTCCCTCATCATCAACATCGGTCAGCCCAGGGTTGTCTCGTTATCCCAGCCGACATTCCGCGTGTCTCAGCTGTGCTACCGCGCCAGCGAGGAGACATCAGGCTGACCTGGCTGATTGAGACTGACTGAGACAAGGTCAGGACGTCGATGCGAATGTTTCTACCTCATGCGCTCCGGATCCTAAGCACTTTGACAAACTCCTTCCGTCCTGGCTGTTTCACGAGCGGTGCCCACCTTTCACCGCATCGTGGCCAGCAGAGTCGGCTTTCGTCGATGTAGACGGAAATTCAGCGCGCTTTGCGTTGGTGTTCGACTCTCGGGAGGACACGGCGAACATCTGTTCGAGCCGACAAGGATGCCCAGTTTTTTGTTGTGACTGTCGAGCCAGTGTCGCTGTTGCCTTAATAGACAGAGGCCAGAGTTGCTACTGCTTTACGTTGCCGAGGACCACACTGAGATGCGGGGCGTAGTTTCACAAGATGAGTTGGGGTTGGGGGCTGGGCAGTGAGAAATAACGCAGCATACCCCCAAAATTCGCCCACAGCCGGGTTTCTTCCCCGGATTCGGCCCACTTCTTTGTCAAAGTTAGGGAAGCCGGAGCCCCGGTCCCGGAGGCTAACGCCCCCTTCCCCAACTGAATAGGAAACTACACCTCTGCTGAAATGTGCCGTGCGTCTGTGAAGAGACTCTGGTTACTGTTGTTGGAACAAATGTTTATTTTCACGCATGTTCAGTATTTCTGTAGCTTTGTACCATGATAGATTTATAACTGAACGGTTAGATGTTGATAACTGTTGTGGTTTTAGTATATGTCGTGCTTGTAAGCTCGTAACGTGTGTGTCGATGATTTTAGTATATGTTGTAGTTGCAAGCTCGTAACGTACGCGTCCTGTCTTTGTGCCTGCGTGTATGTGTCTTTGTGTGTGTACGTGTTCTCGGAAAGGCTTATACCTGCCTCTTATCCCTCGCTGACCTTCCAGTCTGGACATTGCGACGCGTAGTACCCATGTCATCGCGTGCTTCAATTTGTGATTGCAAGTCATTTTGAGGAGGTATAGAAATGACGTATGGTCCACGACCTCTCGCTGAAACGCAACGCTTTGTCGATCGCCATATCTATCCCACCAATCTCTGCACGTGAGTTTTGTTAGTGGGGCCCTTTGAATGACTCGACTAGAGAAGCTGCTAGTCGAGCGAGGGATGCCATCTAAGCCAGGTTGTTCCCCGGTCCTGTGACCATAATTTCAACTGAGATATGATCGACCTTATACAAGGTTCAGCATGCAGGATATGACATCATTAGGCTCAGGTATATAGTTGTTACGTTTTTTGGCACACATGATCGTGCCACTCTAAAGGGAATCATACACTCGATTTATGGTGCATAAATCTGATCATGTACTAGTAGGTACGACTTACAAATAAACAAAGATATGTACTCATACTGCAGAGGTACTTTCCAGTTCCGACAAGACCTCGGCTCAGAATGGCGCGAATAAAGGTATTCCAATATGAGTTTTAACGGAAATATCAGCGCTGTCTGCAACCGTACTGGTTTGCAAATGGCCCAAATTGCAAAAACCTTATCGTCAAGAATGGCACAAAGACGCTAACCCCTCTTGAGCTTGTTTTAACCAAAGTTTAAACGCGGCCTCCACCCGCCCGATGGCTTTCGACGGTGACGGTGCCGTCCGCAATGTCAACTCAGCTGCAAGCGTATTTGTCCTTAGCCGCACGGCCGAATCAAGGGTTTTGCCCACAAACCACCAGGTGTCGCTCGTGGGGCGTGCAAACCACCAAGTGTCGCTCGTGGGGCGTGCAAACGACGCCAGCGCGGCGACGGAAACGTGCCGATAAGCTTAACGAGCCCTTGGATTTTGTTCCCCTTGGAGCGTAGCCACGAAAACTGACTGTTTTTTTTTTTAATTTTGGGAGCACGTCAGCAGCGACGCAGGCCTGCCAGACGTTTCCGCGGACTTCATTGCCGCCGTCAGCGACCTCGAGGCTAGTTTCAAATTTCACTTCATGGAATGAGCCCCTTGAACCGCTGCCGGTTGAGCACATGCCAGTCCCGAAGAGTACAGTGCGAGCTGTCGTCATTCAGGGTGCATCATGACCCTGGTCGTGAGAGAAGCCTCCAGAAGTATGGCTTGGGTTGGCGATCAGATTCCCAAACAACTATTTTAACTGCTTCCAGCGGCTTTAGTGACTTTCTGGTGAATGGGGACTGAGGTCATTTGGGGACTTCCGTTGGGGACTGTTGGGGATTCCTGGATTCCAGGATTCCTGTTGGGGACTGAGGTCATTCAGAAACCATCCAGTGTCATGAACTAAGTCTATTCGGTCATCGCGATTCAAGTTATGTGGTATTAAGTCGCAACGGTAAGGACGCAACCGTACGAAACTCTCCTCCGATGACATCATCCTTGCGTTATAAGGAATTCAATATATATATATATATATATATATATATATATATATATATATATATATAGCAATTAAAGGTGCAGAAGGAAATGTGTTTAGAAAAAGAGGGTACAAATTTAGAATTCGATAGCCAGTGGTTCGCCCGGCCTATCCCGCCCCTGCTGCAACCAGAAACCGGAGACGATTGACAATTGCATCCGCGCCTTAAACAGCTCAGCTTTTTGTTTCGTGCGTGTGCGAAAGACGGTGCGAGCCAGTTGCTAAGTGTACTCACGTGGTGCATGTGACGCCTGCGACAGAAACATTATTTTTAGAAAACGGTGTGGTCTGAATGTAATACACGCCGATACTCGAACGCTTCACTGTCTTTTTTCTAAGCGATCTGAGATGGCGTCCTTCGGCGTCGATGAGGTCGAGATGTCTGTAAGTTCCGAGTGTGCCGCGGGATGAACTGAACGTTGGCTCCATCCGCCCGCGGAAGACATCCCGGATGCCGGAGCACGAGACTGTCAAATAAACGTGACACATTCGTGTTTAGAAGGCTTGGTGATGCGGAACCGATCACGGGCCAGGGAACACATGAGGCCATTCTGAAACAGTCAACGAGACTCGGAATGGACGGACGGTTGCAATGCAACCGCCTCTAAACAGCGCAAGAGCCTCACGACTGTTTGTTGGTTGAGACGATGAAGAGCCCTTTTCTTGTTTGCTTCTGGCGCCTTACGTGCCAGTTACCACTCCTGATGGAGGGGCAAAGCGAACACAATGGAGGCCCCAAATGTCATGTGTGCCACGGAATCGAAAAAGAAATTGCAACTAGATAATAGAAAGTGGTGTGATTTGTAGTACCGGCATGTTGGGTTAAAGAGTCACCAGCTCAGAATGTAAGTCATAGATGTCATAGATGGTGTCTTTAAAAATGATCGGAGGGGAAGGAAAAATGAATTTGTATCACACTCGTATGAGACCAAGAAAAACAAAGGTACCGAAATAAATATAGAGACTCAGAGTTGTTTGGTCAAAGTTTTTAACAAACTAACTTGAATGAAAATCTGCGAAAATGGGTACTCAAACTGTGATATTCAGACTGGGGATGCGCGAAAACCTTGCATTTGGCACACAGCTGAAGATTGTGATGCATTTTGTAAACAAACCAAACCTGATACATGCAAGCGGCTGGAGTCGCTCAGGCTCTTGGGCTTGGAGGTACCTGGTGCCCTTGCTCTGTGCATACATAGGCGTTACTCAGATGTAGGTGAGACAGGTTATAGTCATGAGTGTCCAGGTTCTGTGAAGCCTTGTTTATACTTGATGGTTTCAAGTGAGCTCGGTTTTGGATGACACCTCAAAACCTTTGAAAGGGAAATATGGGTTTGGTAAGAATAGTAAGCCAGTATCAGGTAGGAGTGAAACATTCCCACCAGATGTAGGGAAAAGGAGTGAAGAATTGCTCCTCGTAGGGTGTTGCTTTACACCCAAGGTCGTCAACTCTAAGACACTGACAGATACTTTAATGACTGCTGCAACTGATCGGGCCTCCCCTGGTGGTAACACCCTCACCACCAGAAGTTACCACCTAACCTGGTGGTAACTCCGAGCTTGGGCGGAGTTTATGGCAAGATAGACCAAATTTGCCATATTTGTAGCCATGAGTGATGGCCTTACTCATGACAGCGAAAGCTCCCCTTGGATTTTGCCCCAGTTGTACGCGACACCGCTCGAGGTCCTCCGTTAAAGACGCCGAAAATGAAAAAGAACGTGCATTTTAGAGCGCAGAACACTCTTTCCCGGTTGTTTGTTTCAACTCTATCAAGGCTGCCCCCCCCCCCCCCCACCAAAAAAAGGCAACCTCGCACCCAGAATTCGGATTTTTAATGCCGCTCATGAACTGTAAGCAGCATCAACGCGGTTGTAAACAGATGATCATCAGCAAAGTGCACGATACCATGGGCACCTTCCTTAGGATACGATAGAACTCGCACGATAACAGAAAGAACGACGCCCTCAGAAGCAAACGTAGCACCCCGGCCTTCACACCTGCCCAGCGGCACTGCATTTGTCACGCGACATCTATTATTGACCCGAAGGGAAGTGGTAATCTTGTGACTGGGTACAGCTTTTATTGGTTAGCCTGTTATTGCGCTGTGAGCCCCGTTACATGTCCGCCCCCCCCCCCCCCCTGCCTCCCATGTGTCAATTCTGTCCACTCTCCCCTAAGCACCACATGCTTTCACCAGATACTCTTTCTTCCTCCACCCGCCCGAGCCCCATGGATTGCTGAATTTGTTTCTCAAAGGTACGTATTTGCCGGTTTATACGGCCCAAAGTTTGTTTACGAAGTCGCGGCACCCGTGCATTCATGGCATCCCTCACTCTGCAGAAAGCCGCACCGCACATGCGCGAGCCCGCCTGGTGACCGCATAAAAAGTTGACTGGGAAAAATCTAATGGATTAAGTCGAACGCAAAAGTGGAGCGACAAAAAGTCGGCAGGAATAAAGGTCGAAACGAAAACAAATCGAGGGACAAAAAGTCGAAAGAGAAAAACGTTGATCGGGGTGGATGCCGAATCGGAAAAATCAAATAACCAGCCGACAGGGATAAAGTCAAATTGGAAGAATCGAAGGACAAAAGGTTGACTGGGACAAATTGGAAGAAACTTTAGTTGGGAAAATTCGAGTTAAAAGTCCTAAAGACTTAAAGGTGTAGATTAAGGTCACAAGTGATTAGTCAAAACAGAAAAGTGAAAAAAGAAAAGTGCAGAAGGACAAAAGCCAGCAGAAAATATACGTGGCTTTACCGAGTGCTTATGACACATTAATAAGCATAAGCACATAAGCATAAGCACACCCTGAGGAACCGAGTGCTTACAATATGTATGCTATATTGCGTCGTTTCACCGTACCTCCTGATACATCGAAGGTCGGTAGCTCGGCATAGGACCTCTGAACTCATATTGTCGAACACATTGGTGTAGATTGTGAGACGAATCGGGGAAAAACCATTTGTTGATGTTTTGAAAGCGGGTTGCGTCATTTTCCCCTGCTTGACCCCTCCCCCCTTGTCCCTCCCTCAGCTCATTGTGGGAAACTAGGCCCATTGGCCGGATGACCAGAAGCTGAATATTAGAGAACGGTATTAGAGACACTATATTTATTATTTTATAACGGCAAGGGCTTTGCAGATGTTAAAAAACACCCACACAATGCTGATGTTTTTATGGTTTCACAACGCACACGCAGCCTCACTGCCGACACAGTCACACAACAGACACCGTCTGCTGTCCTGCGGCCGCCCGTGCGAACACTGCTCCCCTCCCTCTCCCCAACGCAAAACCCGCGGGATACCAGGGCTGCGCGCCGCCGCCCAGCCGACGGGAGCTAAGTGAGACGGTAGTAATAGCCTTATTCCTCGAAGAAAAACCAGGAGAGTGGACATATAGATGGGCTGATATTTCGGAAACATGCATTTATCGAAACGATAGCGGAAGTGAATAGCCCGAATTAAGTTCTCGGGATTAATTTCTGCTATTGTTTCCATGAAGGCATGTTGCCTAAATACCAACCCTTCCATATCTCCATTCTCATCGTTTTGCTTCGGGGGATAAGGCTTATACTACTGTCTTACCGATGCGAATAATACTCGCAAATGCGCTGAACAACTTACGTAACTGAGAGCCAGGAGATGCTACGTAACAGTTTAGACCTTCATTTTGGCGTCGTATTCAGGCCCTTAGTCAGCAGATTTCCTCTGGCCCCGTCCGGCCCGTTCGATAGTATCATGTTCCATCCAGCCTCATCTGATCTCGTCCTGTTCCGTTCGGTTCCGCCCGGTTTTGTCTGGTTACGTCTGGTTACGTCCGGTCCCTCCTGATCCCGTCTGGTGCCACCTGATTTGGTCCCGATGACCTGATAACGTCCTGATGGCTTTTCTCTTTTAATCCCTTTGACTGCCAGTGTTTTTACATGTCCAAGTTGACCTTTAACCCCGTCGATGTTCGTCCTTTGACCATTCCGTTTTAGCCTTTATTGCTGTCAGCTTTGTTATCCTTTGACTATTCTCCCATTCGACTGCCATCCCCTAAGACCTTTTGTCCTTTTTGTCCTTTTTTGTTCCGATTCTATTTTTATCCGTACGAACTTGTTGTCCGTCGACTATTTCCCATTCGAATCTTATCCCTTTCAACTTTCTGTTTCTGACATTTCGTGTTCACCTTTCGGATTTTTGTAGTCAGCATTTTTCCCTCGACTCGTTCCTCTCGACCATTTGTCGGGGGCCCGGCCCGCCCCACCACCGCCCCAGCGCCGGCGAGCCGGCCGACTGGTCGCGGGGGCCATGCTCCAGACGCCGCCGCGTCGCCTAGCAACGGCCCGTAACGGATCGATGCAGAGGGGACGCGGCCATGCGTCACAGTTATCGACGAACGCTCCCCGGGACGGCGGGCGTTCTTGACTAGAGCCGGTCACGTGGCGTGGGCACGTGACCCTGTTGCCGCGTTTCGGACGGTGTCACGTGGTTAACGCCGGTGGGAGATGACTCGGTGGGGAACCAGCCACCGGCCTCTGGTTATCACGCGGGCTGATCCGCCGACAGTCTGGCTTGCGCTTGCCAGAACGGGACGCTGTATGCACGTATAAAGGTCAGTTGGTAAAACCGGGTTGTCAAGCTGCGCAACGATGGAAATTCGGCGAAAAGGCAGCCTTCAAACCTACACCATATGGTGAAGCCGTTGGCAAGAGGCCATGGCCACTCGCGATAAGCCTCCAATAACTCGCAGCATTCACAGCAGCACACGTGTGTTCCGTGGAAAACAGTCCAGTTCGAGTTTTGAGCCAACCAGTGCGGCAATTCCTTACCGGTATCCATCGAACTGGGTGCGTCGGTGTTTTTCCGTAATTTGATCACGGAATTCGTGCACGGGCCATCTATCGCCCACTTACAAGCAACGTCATGGAGTCATGCGCGCAGAAACATGCCCACAGACATATGTGTAGCAGCAGGACACGAAATCGTTGAAGTCTGAAATACGCCAGAGGGGATGACTAAGCGCGGGAAAGCAGCTCACGACATCCACCTGGGGATTACCATCTATAAAACATTCCCTACTTATGCCACTGCATCAATAATATCCACCCTAACCGTTCAAATGTGAGCAGACGGCACATACAGATGAGATTGACTTGAGCCTACGCGGGCTGGTGCAAACATTGCAGCACGGCATGCTGGAAAAAGGCGTGGCGAATTGGTGACACCGATGCCGATGCCGGTGACATGTTCGAAGGACGAAGTACAGTATACGGAACACGCCGCGCTTCAGGGGTTGGGTGCAGCCAAACGGGAGCGGGGCAGGGGGGCCTTAGA